CCACCCCCCCACACACCCCCACACACACCCACACACAGACACACACACACACACATTCATGGCTGGGATTTCCGAACCCCCATCCAACACCACAGGATGCCCAAGGGCAAACTGCGCATCATGCCCAAGAATCAAGATAATGCAACTTACTCCAAAGGAAAATGCTTTATATAATATGAATGAAAGCAGATTTAAAAAAAACAAACAAACCACCCATAGATTAAAATATGAGATACACATTACAAAGAAAATGGGAAGTATGTCACAGGAGTGTGGTCTGAGCAGCTGTTTCCAGTAAACATCAGGCATAGGAGCTTTTGGTGGGCAGTTCCTGCAGGAGGCTGGGGATCGCTGCCATGGGTGGCACTTGCTGCAAGAGGAAGGGGCTTGGGGAGGGGGTCTGGAGCCCCAAGGCGGCGGTGCGGGGCCAGGCAGCACCGGTGCTTTACAAGCAGTCGCTTCGCACATAGGCTGTTGCAGGTCGTACTGGCTTATCTGGAGGTTGAGCTCTGTTGAGCTGAGGGTCGTGGATGGGTTGTGCGGCTGGCTCCCCTCACACACGGCATACTCCTCGTGACGCTGCTGCCGGAGGTGCCGCAGCATCTCTCTGGACAAGAAGTGGGTTTCTGCTTCACCCGACTCTGGAACAGAGAAAGACAAACCCCACCTTCACTGGTCTGGCCCGAGGCAGGAGTCTGGGCAGGGAGCAGAGCAGAGTCTCTGGGAGATGCCCCACAATATGCAGAATTTCCTGAGAAGCTGAAATATGGTTCTTACTTCCCCCTTTCAGGACACCAGAAGAAAGAAAATAAAACACGAAATGCAGGAAGGAGATTAAAATACAGACACTGTGTGCTGGTTTCCCAGTAGTACTTGCTGTGATGGGAAGTAATTCACAGGATAGAACTGCTTCTCCTGATCAGGGAGAGCGCTGAATTTCCTCTGAAAAACGAGATTCATTTCAGCAAGAAGCAGCAAAGCTGCTTTCAAGCCATGCAGCTCTGCAAGAGGTGAGGAGAAGGGAAACTGAAAGGAAGCAGGGGACAGCCTTCCTTCTCATCCCCTGTCAGGAGGAATGTCCCTGAGCCAGCACGCACACCAACACAGTCCCAGTCCTGGGGAGGGCTTGACAGCCCCAGACGTTTGTCCCAGGAACATCAGCAGTGAAGGGAGCTGCTCCTTCCCCTGGAAGCCCGCTGTTATGTTTAATCCTTGAGGAAGTGTTCTTGCTGCCGCAGTGGAAGACTGCTTGTCTCAGGTGCCTCTGGGGACTTCACCAGGGACCAGCTCTGCCAGCATCCTCCCCACCCCTCTGAGACCCACAAAAAGTTCTTCTGTGTTGGGAAGCAGCCCCTTCTTCCCACTGTGACAGGGACCCCCACGCCCGTGTGAGTGGGGATATCAGCCAAGCACATGGATCCTACCTGCTTACCCTTGTTTGCCGTGATCCAAGGTCACTCAAGGGGCTGGGGAAGCACAGCTGCTGTGCTGGGCACCCCTGCCCTCTTCCCCTCCTCACTCACCCTCGTATGCAATGAGCCGGTAGGTACCCGTGCACTCCTTGGAGCCTTTCAGGATCTCCTCCAATGTCCTGTAGAAAAGCTTGGCCTGCTCCAGACGGTCCTCCCGGCTGAAGGCAGCACACTCGTCCTGGGACATGGCGTAGAGGGACTGGAGTGGGGTGGCAAACTCCACTGCGCAGTGCCAGAGCTGCAGGGATGGAAGAAAAAGACAGGGCGGCAGGAGGACCAAGCACCTGGCAAAGGGCTGCCGGGGGACTCTGCTGCTGGGCAGACCCCTCGGCAGCTCTGTGGCCTGCCCTGCACTGGTGCTGTGTGCTGGACCCCTGGGACAGGGACACTGGTTCTGGCTCCAATGTCCCCCTGCCCTGCGTTGAGCGGGGAAGGAGCAGCGGGCCGGGCAGGGAGGCAGGTACAGCTGTGCCCCGTGTGCCAGGTGGGCTCAGGCAGCTCTCTCCTTCCCACGGGGCCCTGGGCTGCAGACACCGGCTTTGGCAGTGCTCCCAAGCTGCAGCGTGGGGAGTGATTTTCCCCGTGGAGTTTGGTCCTCCTTGGAGACGTCCCTTGGCTGTGTCCTATCAGACCTTCTTGGTGGCTTTTCTGCTAGAGAAGGGGAAGTCTGAGCATCCTAATGGAGAGTAGGAGGATGGAGAAGAGGACAAATGCTGGCAAGGTGAATGCACAGCTAGAAGACGGCTGGTCAAACAAATGAGGATAGCTTTGCTAAGGCCATAAAAATTCCAAGGAGGAGCAGGGTTAAGACTAAGTCTTATACTGGGCAAACTGTAAAGTTTAATAAAGTGTATTAGAAGGAAGAGAGACAGGATCCCTGGGTAAGTGCAGAGTAGCAGGGAGAGCTATCAGCCTTGGAGGGCAGCCACCACAGTGACCTGGAGCAGGTGCCACGGATGGGATCTAGCATCTGCCATGCACACGTTCACCAGCAACTGGGCAGCAAGCTGAGGGACAGATTTTATTGACAACATGCAGTGGGTCAGGACAGGTCCAGGCTGCAGAGCTGCTGGAGTTCACATGGTGCTGAGTGACTCAGCAGGAGACTGGCAGATCAAACACAACATCAGTGCGTACATAGTAGCAGGAAAATCCCAATGCTGACTGTACTTCCCCAGGAGCAGGGCCAGGAAAGTAGCTCTGGAGTCCCTGCAGGCAGGGCTTTAAAAGCAGCAGCTGAGTGCACAGCCACCATCAAAAGGCAAATTAGGGACACCCAGGTGAGAACCATTGCGCTGCTGACAGTTCCATCCACTGCTGTGTCAGCAGGAGCAGTGTGTTCGTCCCTCCAAGGGTGCAGGGGCAGAGGTCCATCTGCTTGGAGATGTGGAAGGAGATGAAAGCAATGTGAAATGGAGGGATTTAGGGCTCACGAGCCCAGAAAAGAGGTGACTGGGGGAAGGGGAGAGTCAAATTGTATAGTGACTCACACAGACATTTTCAAGCACCTCTTCACAACAAAAGGAAATACTAATTTTTCCCATGGGAAGTGATGCTCTGGACCCCACATGTGCTTTTTTCTGCTCAGTTTTCTGCTGTTTGCCAGACTTAAATCAACTCCAGGAGAGGCTGAGTGAGCCCAACATCCCTGCTGGGAGCAGGCAGCCAAGAGGATGGGGTGCAGATGGCTGGCATGGACAGGACCTCTCCATCTTGCGGGAACCTGCTGAAAACTGGGAGTATCTAATAGGAGAGGGGACACTGTCCTGCCCTTATGGCCACTTCTGGACTGGGATCTGAGGCCAGGAAGACCTTTGGGCTAATGCATGCCGACTGCTCTCCTGACGCTGCACTCGGTGTACCTTGTTGTCTTCATCCCTGATTGCATAGAGGCTGTGTTTGTAGACCCTTTTTTTGGTGCCAGCTCGAGTCAAGGTGGTTTCAGTGAGGTCTGTCAGGTACTGGATATTGCTGTCAGCTTTCTCCAGGTCATCATAGACATCACAGCTCAGAGGGACCAAGATGTGGAGTTTCCAGGTCTCCCTGCAGGCCAGCACATTGGGGTTGGCTCTGATGAATTCCTCCATTGACTTTTTCACCCCTGGTGGAAGACAGCATTGGGCAGAGGTGCCCAGTGTGAGTACAGCTGCTTTCTACCCTGCTCCTCATTCCCTTGCTAACACTGCAAAAGTGTGAGGATTGTTATTAGGAGCTATTTCTATCTGTAGGCATGATAATACAGGGAAACAGCTACGTACGTGGCAGGACTATTTTTAGGTACCCAATGTAATAAGACCAGGCAAGCCCATGAGCAACGTTCTGCTTGGACCTCTCAGACATCTCAGACATTTCCACTGCTGAGGGCTTCTGTGGAGGGAAGGAAAGACAGACTAGCAGTGATGAAAGCAGCCACCTGGGCTCTTCTACACAGTTGATTCTCTACAGGGACTGGAGAGCAGCCGCCCTCTCCAAAGAGATCTGGAGAGTGAGCAACCCTGCTGCCCTCTTCCACCACTACATCAGGCAATGGGGCCAAGAGTCCTTGGTGGCCCACACAGCCCCTGCAGATGAGGAAGCTAATGTTGGAGTGAGCCAGACATGTTTCTGGCTGCATCCTCCACTGGGATTGCGTGTCCCAGTGCAACTTGTGCATCTGCCCAGTGCTTCTAGCACATGGGAGGAGACATCCCAGTGCCTGGTGGTGGCATTTCCAGGGCCACTGGTGGCCCCTACCAGCTCTGTGTGTTCATTTAGGTGGAAATGGGTGTTGAAACCCCACAGGCACCTAATGACTGCCCTCCCCATAGCACCCTTCTGTAGTCTGTGTGACCTCTCTCCCCTTCCAGCTCTGCTGGGGTAAAGCAGAGCCCTCCCAATGGTACAGAGGTACTTGGAGCTTGGCTCTTCCACCACAGCATGCCTGATAATTAACCCTTTGGAGACCACACAAGCTATTCTTTCCCCTCAAGCACCAGCTTGATTGACAGATTTAAAAATACTTCTGTATTTTGTGTCAGCGGGGCTCTGGCTGCAGCAGGGCAGCTGCCAGTGCCCAGTGTGGCTGTGCTCATTAAAAGGCAGCCTGGCCCTCCTGCTGTCGCACATGGCAGTATGGGACTGAGATCAACTCTTTGGGGTGAGCTGATAAGAGTGTTCCTCCCGCTGTGGGGTTGCGTGTGGGTGGGCTGTACATGCAGGGCCCACACAGAGCTGGGCCATGTGCCCCCACAATTGCTGGGGGCTGCCGCGCTCCCTGGGATGCCTGGCCAGGCTGGAGGTGTTGGTGCCTTACGTGGAGCCCCAGAGCGAGGATGAGGAGCTGGCACAGGCTGGCCAGGCTGAGGTGAAGGCTGAGCGGTTGCCCGTCTCCATAGAGAAGAGCCACGTAGGCTGAGCCAGAGGCGAGCAGCATAGGCATGTACCAGCGCAGGGGGAAGCAGGCGCTCAGGACCCTCCAGAAGCTGCCATGGTGCCTGGGTGGGAGAGGGAGACAGGAGACAGGCTGCCAGTTGCCTGCCCACTCGCCATCTTCAACTGCAGCCCACCTCCCTGCCAGTGCTGCTGACCTCCTGGAGCAGTACGGAGCCAGGGAGCCCTGAGGAACCCTGCTTAGCGCACTCCGGGTGCCCCCAGCCAGGAGACGGCTTGGGTCTCCTGCAGTACCCACGGTCTCAGAGGGGAGCAGATGCAATGCTGCCCTGGACAGCAAGAGGAGATTGTCTCCAACAGCCCTGTGCCCTCCGGCCCTGGGCAGCGGGGGAAGGCTGAGGACTGAGGGCAGCTACCACAGAGAGGAGAGGGAGAGGTCCATAGACATATGCGGGAGCTGGGCAGGCAGGAGAATGGAGAGGAGGAAGAGGAGGAGCTGAGAAAGACACAAGGCTGATGGAAAGCAGTGTGAGCTGCAGGGACACAGCAGAGCATTGCCACAGAGCACACACGTGGGGCTAGAAACAAGGAGCAGATCCCTCCCGACACCCAGAGGCTGCTATGCCCTTGTCCCCGTGTTGGCCCCAGGAGGCAGCCTCCCCCACGCTGGCTCACCTGGACTGGAGGTGGAAGATCTCCTCGGCCAGGTAGCAGGTGCCCTTAAGCAGCACCCCGATCTGCAGGGCCACAAAGTGGGAGGTGAAGCTGCGGGCGGTGGGCGCGAGGGGCTCCCTGGCGAGGTACAGCGCTGTGGCACACAGAGCCAGGAGCAGGTAGAGGGCTTGCTGTGCTCGCCCTCCCCGGGCCTTGGGGATGAGCAAGGTGGTGGGGTCGCTCGGTCGCCACGATTCCTGAGACATCTACGGCAGAGAGGAGGGGGTCAGCAGCGGTTGTTGTCCTCAGCACCCACACAGTGCCGGGGAGTGGAGCAGGAGGACACACATGCACACCCAGTGCTCACTGAGCACCCCAAAGCGCGCAACAGAGCCATCACTTCCTTTGCTGCTTCTGTGGAGGTTCCCTTGCATGCTGCACAGGCCAGCTCGGGGCTTCCCCCTGTGCCCAAATGGGCTCAGGAAGGCAGAGTCTGGGTGGCCACCCCATTCCCAAATCGATGCCAACCCTATGCCAGCCCTCCCTGCCCTGCAGCCCTGGGGCCATCACTCCTTGCTGCACTCACCGGAGCAGTTATCAGCTGCGAGGCTGGACGCTGCCTGGGTTTTCTGCACTGCTGTTAGTGGGCTCTGTGCTCCAGCCTGGGCAGCTGCAGGTCTTTTTGGAGGCTGCTGCTGTAGACAGAATCCTGGTACCTTTGCACCATACAGGCTTCTGGTGCCAAGGGTGGAGCTGCGCAGTTCCCAGCACCGAGAAAAATGAAAATGAAAGCAGTATCGTGGCTGCAGACAGACTGCAGAAAGCACCAGAACCCTCCTGAAAGCACCAGAGCCGTCCCACACAGGGCACTCGTGGGGTCTCCCAGCCCACAGGAAATCCAGGCACTGGGCAGCGCTGGGTGGATGGGGCAGGTTTCGACATCCATGAGCTTGCACCTGTGGAAAGCCCCAACGTATCTGTCAGGTCATAGTGGGGCTGAGCCAAGCTGGAATGAGGAAGGAAACAGAATTTGTTGAGGTTGAATTTATTAAGTGCAGCAGATTTCAAAGACTGAGTTTAATAAGCGTGGCAGGTTTCCAGGGGTGAAACAGAAGCAAATTCCTTCTAGCAAAGAGGGTGGCTCTCAGCACCCTGCCTCCCCCCCCACCCCCCACAGCCCCAGGAGATGCTGGTTCAGGGGGCAGTGCCCACAGGCACTGGCGACACAGCAGGGGCTTCTTGCAGCCGGGCTCTTGCTGGCCAGTAAGGCCCTCAAGCTTCTTCGGTTCCTGGTCCTTGTGACCACAGATCCAGAGCAGCTGAGGTACTCAAGGCCTTCTTTGACTCAGTTGTTATTGCTGAGGTTTGCCCTCAAGCCTCCCAGGTCCTAGCGGCAGAGTGCAGCAGCATTCCCATCCTAGAGGAAGACTGACTTAGGGCACACATACACAAATCCGTAGGACCAGGTGGGATGTACTTGAGGATGCTGAGGGAGCTGGCTGATGCCCTGGCAAGGCTGCTCTCTCATCTCTTCCATTCTGTTTGGAAGATGGTAGCCATCAGGAAGTTCCTGGTAAGTGGGAGAAAGCAAATATCACCCAGAGCTTTGAGCAGGGCAAGAAGGATGGCTTGCTGAACTACAGCCTGCCCAACATCACATCTGTCTCTGGGAAGGTGAGGGAGCAAATCCTCCCGGCAATCACTGCCAAGCACCTGAAGGACAAGAAGGGAACAGCCAGCAGGGATTTGCAAAGGGCACATCGTACCTGACCAGCCTAAGTGCCTTATGGGATGAGGTAACTGGCCGTGTGGATGAGGGGAGAACCTTCACTTCAGCAAAGCTTTCAGCGTGGTCTCCTATAGCCTCCATGTAGCCAAACAGGGTAGATACAGGCTGGGTAAGGGAGTGGCTGTCCAGAACGTGCTTTGGGTCCGATTGCTTTCTGCCCAAGAATGCCTGTGAATGCAGGGAGGCTGCCAAGGGACCCTCGCAGTCCCCACAGACCAGTAGGCACCTTGCTGGGGGTCTCCGCAGGCTGCACAAGGATCCTGATTCAGATGTACCCACCGGTCATGTTTAATTCAAATGTTTACAAACCCAAAGGGTGGGAGGAAGGAACAGATGCCCAGAGAGACTGACAGCGTACTACTTGCGCTCATCTCAAGATTATCAGAATCTGGTTTTGTGGTACCTTAGATACCCCAGAAAAGCCGCTTCACCTGACCTTTGCTCCTAGCCTGGGGAGGGCTTGTGGATATAGCCAAAGTGTTGTTTGCTTCTTCAACACAAAGGTTGGCTAAAATATCAAGTGAATCACTTCCTCCTGCGCTGGGTTGTCCCTGCCAGCTGGGCTTCGCTGACCAGCTCCAGCTGGCTCTTGCAGTGTAGAGGAGGAGGCTGCCCAGCTGCCGGCCCTCTTCTCAGGGGTCCCTGAGCAGCTGGGGGGCTTTCCTGCCCGTGGAGCCTGGACTCTTGCTTTCAGTTCTACCTTCAGCACGCTAACATCCATGGTATTTCTGTCTTTCGCTTCTGCTCTGAGCCAGCCTCTGCCCCACAGCCCCAGACTCGCCTCATATGTGGCTGTTGCCAGGGTACTAACTGTAATTAAAAAGCAGCATGGAAGAGCCATTCTGCCTGTCAGAGCTTGCAGAAGCAGATGATAAGGCTGGAGGGAGGTGAGGATCGGAGCAAAGAGGAATTGCATCTGCACCTTGCAGGCCAGCTGCAGATCAGGACAAAATGAGAGCTGCCATGCTCTCAGCAACGTCACATCACCTCCAGACTACTTTGCTCTTGAACAGTCCTCCCAGCCACCCTCCAGCCTTTCCAGGCTCCCTGCCATGCTGTGGATGGGACTGTGCCTGTGGTGAGCAGCTCGGAGTAGAGCTGGGGTGCCCGGTCCAACAACTGAGCCTAAACTCCAGGAATGAGATTTGAATGTCTCCAGCGGAGGCTGGACATCTGCAGCATCTGAGCTTGCCTGGCAATGGAGAGCCCAGTGCTGCCCAGCACCTCTGCACAGCCAGCAAGAAGCGGGAGCACCAAAGCTGCCTTTGCCTTTTGTCTAGCCAACAGTTTGTGTTTCCCGATTGTGCCTTGACTGAAGTTCCCTTTCTCCCTGTTTGCTGTTCTTCCCTCAAGGGGAAGGAACATGAAGTCATGCATGATGCCAAAAGATTTTAGATACATAAAAAAAACCTGGCAAGCAACCACCTCAGAGCAGTGCAATGGTACTTCCAACCAGTCTAGTGCTGTCACCTCTGTTTGAGATTTAGTTGGGCAAGGAAATCAAATCTCTGGAAAGCAATCTATAAAACCACCTACACTGCAGACCCCACTGAGATTAGTAGTTTCTCACCCTAGAGGTTTTTAAACCACTCATATGACAGGCAGCATAAACCCCTCACGCGCCATATGCCATGGCCTTTTGCTAACGACAGAGCAGCATGTGGACCAGCTGGTGCTTACTGGATGCACGGGGCATCCCCACGTTCCCCACGCCCCGTTTCTTGGGCCACGTGCCGTTGTGGGATAGCGTCCCAGCAATGCTCCCTTGGGACGCTCCTGACGCAGACAAATCACAGCAAAACCACCTGATTAGGTTGTTGGAGATGTCCGTGGTCACCTGCTGGATAACTGACTCCTCAGCACCAAACCAGTCAGCCCTAACCTCTCAGCCCAGCCTGGGCTTGCTGGTTTCCACACTGCTGCTGTGCTGCTGTGACAGCTCCACCCTGGGGAGCATCCAGCAGAGCTGAGCTGGCCCGTAACACAACATAGGCTGGTTTGTAGAGGGGCCTTGGTGTACTGGTTGGGGCTGGGGAAGGGGTCAGCCTCTACTGACATCCCAGTGGCCACAGGCGGAGTGGAGAGCTGCAGCCAGGGCTTGGTTTAGACAGGGAAGGGTTTTGGTGAAATGCCTGAGAGCTTGTAATAACCTGGAAAAAGAATATAAAAATCCTGCAGTGATAGGAGGTGAGATCCCTTGCAGGTAGCCAGATGCTGTGAATTTGCTTGAAGTCTCCTGCACCTCTGGAGACCCACTGGCTGCTCTGTAGGAAGTGCCTTAGGTATAAGGTGGAATAACCCAGGAGCTGGGCCTGGCCGCGGGCCCCATGTGAGGCTGAAGGCGGTTAGGGGCAGGTGCTGCATGCGTGTGGCACGTCCCCAGCCCAAAGCCAGGCCGGGAAGATGGTGCTTTCCCTGGAATCTCTTGGGTAAAGGTCTACTCCTGGAGAGCAGGCAGGCAGCCAAGCGTAACAGAGCCTGCTTCTGCTGCAAGACGGCACTGCAGCAGCCTTTGCTCCTTTTTTTTTCCCACCATGTTCTGTTGCCCTTCAACAGCCGGTAGAGCTGCTGGCTTCAGCCGAAAGGCAGGCTGCCCAGCGACAGCTTTACACCAAGGGTGCCTGTGGGGACAGGGTTCGGATGCCAGGCTGGTGTCAAAAGTGGCTTTGGTCCCTTGGCTAAAAACTGTTGCAGTTGTGTTTTTAGTGCTGTAATTGCACCACCAGTGTACCCTCAGCAGTCCTGCACACCGACAGCGCTTGCGTTATTGCCCACCCTAGCAAAACTCCAGTGCTCTGCAATACTCTGTGTTGCCCTGGGCTGTTTGAATTGGATCACTCCCTCCGATGCAGTGAGGAGCCATCCGTGTGCTGGGTAAAATCTTGCAGAAGCAGGTGAGCTGCTTCCTCCAGCTCCCAAGCACGTGTTGTCTCTCACTCGTTCAGCAAATCAGTGTCATTGCGGGATGAAAGAGGTGATGGTCAGGGCAGCCAGGGAGGTGTCCTCGCCAAAGGAATGTCCCCTTTGTCTCCAGATTATGCAGGGTCCTGATCTTTGCTCACAAAGTCCATGTGGAGATGGGATGCCTTTCCAGAGATGTATCCAGCTTGGGAAAGCCTTTGCCTTGCCCTGACCACAGGCTGTGACCCCTCGGTAGAGATGAGTTTAAAATCCTGATGGCAGCACGAACCATCCCTCCATCCCCGGATCCTGGGGCTGCTCTGAGTACAGCAATGCCCCTTACCCAGAGTATCGTGTGGCACTGAGGCCCCAATCACACATTGGGTGGAGAAGTCATTTTTGCCTGTTTTGAAGGTGTCACAGGCTAGCACTGTTTGGGGTCCCACTGTTCTTGTGCTGGGAGAGACATGAACAACCACCCCTTTCCTCCTTCCCGGATCACTGGTGGCTTCAGACCTCAGCCATCTCTTTCCCAGGCTGGAGCATCCCAGATACTCAGTTCTTCTTTGGAAAGAA